CAACCGCCGTGGTGCGGAGCGCCGTAATATAGGGCAGCGGTAATATGGAGAAGTGACTGTTGCCGTAAAATGGGGAAGTCCTCAGAAAAGGCTTTAAACGCGTGTTTTAGTCATTTTTCACTACATTTAACGATAGATCTTCGAGATAAAGTCTATCAAATGAAATATCTCCCAGAGTTTTATCGATTTACTCCTTAAAACTTTCAAAAAATCTATCCTCGACACTCTAGATCATTTAGGCCCGTTTGTCTATTGTTTCCTCCACGAATACGAGGTTCATCCGCGCGTCTAACTAACACATTCGCGCGAATATATGACTTCAGTGCAGTAAGATGGAAAAGTACTTTATAAAACACGTAAAACCTTTCAAAATAAAAGCAACAGTAGCAAATTTATTAGCCTGCCACATAATTACGACGCTTGTTGCAAAATTTTAACCAATTTATGCGTCTTCGTGTGCTTTGGTAATGATTCTCCCAGCGCCGTAATATGGGGCAGTCGGTTGCAACGCCCCCTGTTTGAATCCAAACTTGATTTATTTTACGCAAAATTTGTCAAAACACAGATTTCATTGCCATTCTATGCATGATATCTGCCAAAATCACTATATTTTCAATGGGAGAGTCATGTTCTCCCAGCGCCGTAATATGGGGCAGTCGGTTGCAACGCCCCCTGTTAGAATCCAAACTTGATTTATTTTACGCAAAATTTGTCAAAACACAGATTTCATTGCCATTCTATGCATGATATCTGCCAAAATCACTATATTTTCAATGGGAGAGTCATGTTCTCCCAGCGCCGTAATATGGGGCAGTCGGTTGCAACGCCCCCTGTTTGAATCCAAACTTGATTTATTTTACGCAAAATTTGTCAAAACACAGATTTCATTGCCATTCTATGCATGATATCTGCCAAAATCACTATATTTTCAATGGGAGAGTCATGTTCTCCCAGCGCCGTAATATGGGGCAGTCGGTTGCAACGCCCCCTGTTAGAATCCAAACTTGATTTATTTTACGCAAAATTTGTCAAAACACAGATTTCATTGCCATTCTATGCATGATATCTGCCAAAATCACTATATTTTCAATGGGAGAGTCATGTTCTGCCAGCGCCGTAATATGGGGCAGTCGGTTGCAACGCCCCCTGTTAGAATCCAAACTTGATTTTTTTTACGCAAAATTTGTCAAAACACAGATTTCATTGCCATTCCATGCATGATATTGGCCAAAATCACTTTATTTTCAATGGGAGAGTCATGTTCTGCCAGCGCCGTAATATGGGGCAGTCGGTTGCAACACCCCCTGTTAGAATCCAAACTTGATTCATTTTACGCAAAATTTGTCAAAACACAGATTTCATTGCCATTCCATGTATGATATTGGCCAAAATCACTATATTTTCAATGGGAGAGTCATGTTCTCCCAGCGCCGTAATATGGGGCAATTCACGTGCTTTTATATTAGCATTTTGTTGACGTAACCGGAAATTTTTATATTTGGATTAAAGATTCTTCAATTTTATGGAATTTCTTATTGTAAAATTTGAATAGATTATCTATCAACGTTAATTATGTTGCGAAATGCCATGTGAGTCCTAGAGCTTTATATTAATGCAATGAGGTTGTTGTGTAGTTTGTTTGAAAATTCGAGCTTAGCATGGTTCGACAAGGTGTAACGCGTGTGATTATAAAAGTCAAGAACCCACAACCAAAAGATAAGTGCACTGTAGTACATTCAGATTTGTTGCTACAGTCAGGATGCACAGAACATGAATGGCGCTGGCGAGGGCAAGAACGTCGAGGATTGGGTGATCGTGGTATTGCTGTCCGCTGGAAGCATGGTGCAAGTGGAAAGCAAAATAAGTCAATTTTGCCGTCTGAAGGATTCTCTGAAGACACTGTAGGTCTTGATATTTCTCTACAGATATTCAAATAAAGCAGGAAACAAAACAATTGAAATTTTGATTTAGTATTTGGATTGAAATTTTTCTTTATTTTCATGCAAGTAGGGGAGGGGCAATTCACGCAAAAAGCGTATGAAACCAGTTTTTAGGTTAGTAGAAACCACTAATTTCCTAAAAAGAAAGTTAAGTTGTATTTTTAAAATGTTCAAATTCACATGTGATTGGTTAGGCATTAAGCTAGATTTGAATTATAATGGTTCTTGTTATAGTTTAATCTGCTTTAAAACAATTAAAAGAGAAAATTTATTAATAGTTTCAATCAGTGTCACCACCAAGGGTGTAATCCCATGCAAAGAACAAGGGGGCTCAAACGTAAGAATTCCAAATTTTGAGTACAAATCTGTCTACTTCATCTTGTAACCCCCCTTGGTGCAACTTAAAAATTCAACATTAAAAGAAAAAAATACTTCGATTGAATGACTGAGAGAATCAATTTATGAATATCAATTGTATGTTGTAGGTAGCTGTTTTTTCAGACTCCCAACTTAGACCGATTGTTCAAGGAGAAGTTCGTTGCCCGAGCAATTGGTACGTGAATAGTACACCGGGTGGAACCTTTAACAATGTTGCTTGCGAGGTACGAAACTGCCAAGTGTCAATCATTCCAGGCCGCATTGTGTTCCTAGTTGGAACAAATGACATGATGCAACATTTGAGGATGGAAAGAGTAGAGAAAGACTTTTTTAATTTGATTGAAACTGCCAGGAGCCGTTTTCCTGATTCTGAGGTAAGATTAGAAGCCAATTTCCAATGTGAATTCCAGTTGGAATGTAATAGAGCACTCTGTTACATCCTTTTTCTAATGAAAGGTTTCCCTTAAGTGTAAATAGAACAAGCTGTAAAAAACTAAGCAGTAAATTAGCAAGTAAATTAGCTCTTGATGATTTTAGAAATTCTTCTTTCCACCTATGTGTTGAGAATGACTTTAATAGCATTTTCTATTTGCAGGTATTTTTCGTTTCAATTTTACCTCGTTTGGACGAAATCGATGTCAGGAGGGACATGTACAACAGTGCTTTGAAGAAGCTTTGCGGAGCATATGCTGCACATTATATTGACGTGGCCAACTTCTTTAATAAATGGGACAGAGAATTATGGAGCAAGGCAGACAGTATTCATATCAGTTCGAATCAAGGAGTACCTTTGCTTATTCAAGAAGTCGTCAGCTCTTTGATGAGGTCTGCCGCTGCACCGGAAAAGCCTGTTGTAGTGAATCGACCATTCTGTCCGGAATGGCTCTGGCGCGAGTTGAAACATCATAACTCACTTGGTACGTAAGCTATACGTATTCAGATTTGGCCTATCGTCCTTATAATCTTACAATCTAATCTAATCTAAAATGTCACCAATAATGTCGTAGAGGTTTTACGTAATCTTCGTTATTATGTCCTAGGACGGCAAGTAGTGGAAAAGGTGCCACGCGAAGAAGAACCTGTCAAATCGTTCCGACCTCGTCGTCACAGCTTCAAGCGGAAGCGACAGTACGTAAAATTGTTTTATTGTCAAAGTTGTATAAATATATGGGACTGTTAAGTATGGTTATTGGTACGTTGATGTCTTTTTGTTATCTTTTTGTTAGGCTATCTACTTGACGAAATTGTCTAGCCCAATTTTACAAATGAAGAAGGAGGGCTGTTAAAATATGTTCTTGATACAATGCACAAACCAAAAATAAATATCACGAGAGAAGGCTTGGACTGCAGGCTAGTGCAGGTTGCAACAAAGGAAGCAATACCCTTGTCATGCCTTTTATTGAAAAGGGAAACGATGCCCTGACCTTGACACGAAATCGGTAGACTTCTGCCATTGAAAAAGAGCGGCCTACTTCCTTTTTTTGTTTCTATTGCAAGCATACATTAGCTTTACATTATTTTTACCCTAGTGTTGTGCAAACATCAGCTAAAAAATCATTGCCAAAAGTGGATGTGAAAAAAGGGGTCATACTCCTAAATTCCGTTCAAGTCAGTTGGAAATGCCTTTCCAACCTTTACCGGGTAAGATGTATATGTGTGTGTAGAAGATAATCCTTATATTGAGCCACGGAGTTGATTATTGATGAATGCTGGACACGAGTCAGTTCTCACGGTTTTGAAGGCATGCAAAGATGCTTGTCCTCCATAGAAGAATAGCACATGTTGTTAGTTGTCAGTCTGTTTGTTGTTAGTCTCTAAAAATTGATTCAATCTCCTTAAAATTCATTGCAGCCTATACAGGATGTCAGGACATCAGCCACCTCCCTCGCCTCCAAAACAGGTAATGAAATGCTTCAAAAGCACATTCCATTTTAAAGTGTAGCAGAAACTACTTCTTTTATTCAAACTGAAAACATACTCATTAATTACATCCCTATATTTACCCAGGGAAACCAAAGAAGAAAAACAAAAAAAGACAGGATAACGTCAGCGGGGACTCTCAGGTATTCTTTCAAAAGCAAGAATGCTGGTATCGTGAAGAAATTTTGTGAACCTGATAAACTTTTGAATATGAAATGTATGTTAAGATGTTTCTTGGCAATGCAAAAACTTTACCTTGTGATTTACATCTACAAAATCTTACGAGAATTCTTTCCAATTGCTCCACAACCTAATGCAAGCTTTTGAATACTAGATTAAGAAGAAAAAGAGTAGCCTGATGCTTGACAAAAAGAAGGCTGATGAGGAAACCACCGAGGTCAGTGTCCATCTTCTATTCAACTTTGTTATGCTGTTTTTACATTGCAAAAAACTTTACCTTGTGATTTACATCTACAGAATTTTACGAGAATTCTTTCCAATTGCTCCACAACCTAATGCAAGCTTTTGAATACTAGATTAAGAAGAAGAAGAGTAGCCTGATGCTTGACAAAAAGAAGGCTGATGAGGAAACCACCGAGGTCAGTGTCCATCTTCTATTCAACTTTGTTATGCTGTTTTTACATTGCAAAAACTTTACCTTGTGATTTACATCTACAGAATTTTACGAGAATTCTTTCCAATTG